AGGTTGCAGAATATATAAGGTCAATACACAGAACTCAATTGTATCTTAATATAATATCAAGGAACAATTAGAAATTGAAATTTGAAAAATAATATCCTTGGGGCACCTGAGTGGCTCTGTCAGTTGAGCATCTGACTTCAGTTCAGGTCATAATCTCATGGTTCACGTGAGTCTGAGCCCTGTAGCAGGCTCCCTGCTGTCAGTGTGAAGCTCTCTTCAGATCCTCTGTCCCCTTCTCTCCCTGCCCTACCCCTGCTCATGTTCTCTCAAAAATAAACATAAAAAATAATAATATCCTTTACAGTAGCATCACAGAGTATGAAATATAGTATTTAGGGAATAGCCTGGACAAGATGTGTAAAAGCTATACACTAAAATGTACAAAGCATTGCAGAGAGAAACGAAAGAAGACAAATAAATGAAAGATCTGCTATGCTCAAGTATTAGAAGACTCATTATTGCTAAGATATCAGTTCTCCTCAAACTGATATATATTTCAGCATAATCCAGTCAAAATCCAAAAAGTCTTTTTTGCAGAAATTGACAAACTAAGTCTAAAATTTATATGGAAATGCAAAATACCTAGGATAGCCAAAACAACTTTGCCAAAGAACCAAGTCAGAGAGCTAACATTAACTGATTTCAAGACTTATACAGCTACAAACAATGTGGTGTTGGCACAACAATAGACTCATTGTTCAATAGACAGCATAGAGTGTCCATAAATAGACTCTTACACATGGGCACATATGATTTTCAACAAAGACAAGAGGTAATTTAGTGGTGTTGGAATATTCACATGAATATCAGTATGCAAAAAAAACAAAAACAAAAAAAAACAAAACTAAAAGAATCTAGGTCTTTATCTCACACCATATATAAAAATTCCATCAAAATGGATTATAGATATGAATGTACAACCTAATTCTAGAAATACTCTAGAAGAAAACACTATGAAACCTTTGTATTAGAAAAAAAATTCTTAGGGGCTCCTGGGTGGCTCAGTCAGTTGAGCTTCTGACTTTGGCTCAGGTCATGATCTCGCATCTGTTAGTACAAGGCCCATATCAGGCTCTGTGCTGACGGCTCAGACTCTGGAGCCTGTTTCAGATTCTGTGTCTCCCTCTCTCTATGTCCTTCCCCACTCGAGCCCTATTTCTCTCTCTCTCAAAAATATATAAACATTAAAAAAGAAAAAGAGAAAAGGGAAAAGAAAAAGAAAAATTTCTTAGATGCAAGCAAAAGCATTGTCCATAAAAGGAATGTTTATATGAGGACTGATGGATGTGGGGGGGAGGGGGGGATGGGCATGGAGGAGGGCACTTTGGGGATGAGCACTGAGTGTTATGTAGAAACTAATTTGACAATAAACTATTTGAAAAAAAAATACTCAAATGCATAAATACAAAAAAAAAGGAATGTTTATATATCATTCATCAAATTAAAAAATGTCTTCTCTTAAAAACAAAACAAATAGCAAACACAACAACAACAACAAAAATACATCTCTTCAAAAGACAGTGAACATAAGAGAGAAAAGACTTGTATTTAGAAAATACAAGGAATTTCATCAAAGAAAGTACTGAGTTTTCTTTAATGAGAAAAACATTTCAGCACTTACCAAAGAAAATATATGAGTGATTTGGGGCGCCTGGGTGGCTTAGTCAGTTAAGCGTCCGACTTTCGCTTAGGTCATGATCTCGCGGTTCGTGGGTTTGAGCCCCGCATCGGGCTCTGTGTTGACTGCCAGCTCAGAGCCGAGCCTGTTTCAGTCTGTGACTCCCTCTCTCTCTGACCCTCCGCTGCTCACGCTGTCTCTCTCTCTCTCTCTCCTAGAAATAAATAAAACATTAAAAAAAAAGAAAAGAAAATATATGAGTGATTTATAAGTTTATAAGACAGTCATCATTAGTCTTTAGAGAGATATACATTAAAACCATAATGAGAGATTAATATAACATTGCGTGTCAACTATACTTCGATATATACTTTTATAAAACCATTAGAGAGAAATACACATCTGCTATGAAATCTATAAAAACTGTCATACCTGGGCGCCTGGGTGGTTTAGTTGGTTAAGCGTCTGACTCTTGATTTCAGTTCAGGTTTTGATCTCACGGTTTGTGAATTTGATCCTCACACCGGGCTCCATGCTGGCAGTGTGGAGCCTGTTTGGGATCTCTCTCTGCCCTCCTCTGTGCTCTCTCTTGTAAAGTAAATAAATTAAAAAAAAAAAAAAAAGACCGACCATACCATGTATTGATAAAAATCAGAAGAACTAAAAATCTTGGACATTGGTAGGAGGAACATAAAAGAGTATGACCGCTCAGTAAAAACAGTTTGGCAAATTTCTTTAAAAGTTAAAAATCCACATACTGTATGATACAGCTAAACCCTTCAAAGCTTTTTGCCTAGAAATTAGAAGCACATGTCCACAAAAATACTTGCACAAGAATGTTTGCAGCTTTATTCGTAATAGCCTAAAACTGGAAACAACCCAAATGTCCATCAACAGGTAAATGGATAAACGAACTCTGGTATATCCATACAATGAAATGCTACTTAGCAATAAAAATAATGAACTTTAATGTGTGACCTAATGTTAAATAATTATGCTCAGTGAAGAAAAACAGCCCCGCAAAAGGAGTTCATATTGTATGATCATACTTACATAAAAATCTAGAAACCGTAAACTGCTATATATGCAGATCAGTAGTTCCTTGGAGGAGAGCAAGAGTTTGAGGGTAGAATTAAAAAGAAGAATAAGAAAACAGGGGTGATAGATAAGCTCATTACCTTGATTGTACTGATCAAATGTAAAACTGTGTCAAAATTTAACAAATTGTACCCTTGAAATACGTGCAGAATTTAACAAATTATTATATCAGTTAAACCACATTAAAGCTATGCTTAGGTGTTTGGAAATAAAGCATAACTACTACTAGATGTAGATTACAATGGATATCTTTTAAACTACTAAAGGAAAAGAAAGAAAACGGGAAAATATTAGCCAATCCAGCAAAGCAGAGTAAAAGAAAAAAATAAAACAGGGCAGGGGAATAAAACACATTAAGTAAGACATATAAAATAAAATTGTAGAAATATGACCAAATATGTAAGTAACCACAACAAATGTGTATGGTTTAAATTCTTGTACTAAAAGTTAAAATTTTCAAAAAGGTAATAAAAATCAGCTGTACCTTCTTTATTAAAAAGCTGCAATCTCCTTGTGAAAGGTATACCTAAAATAAAATGTCACAGAGAAGTTGAAGACATGCAGTGAATGACATACCAAAGACTAACCAGTGAAAGATGGAAAAGATGGACTGGGCAGCCAAGGAGGTAAGTGGTTCACGTTTCCCATCAATAGAAAACTTACCATTCAACACAAGGAATGCAATGAGCTGATGGTCTCCAGCTGTTAATGCTTTCAAGATCCATTTCACCTTTTTAAAAAATGTTTTTATTTATTTTTGAAAAAGAGAGAGAGACAGAGTATGAGCAGGGGAGGGGCAGAGAGGGAGACACGGAATCCCAAGCAGGCTCTACCCTCTGACCTGTCAGTACAGAGCCCAATGCAGGTCTGGAACTCATGAACCATGAGGTGATGACCTGAGCCAAAGTCCAATGCTCAACCAACTGAGCCACCCATGAGCCGCTCTATTTCAGCTTTTGAGTTGAGGCCATACTCTTCCCAGACAATGACTAAGTGTGAAGGCATATTAGGGTTTGGCCATTTCTGCTCTTTTAAACTACTTCATATAAGTCAGCTTTGCTGCAGGGTTTCTTATGGGTTTGGACAAGACTTTGACAGTTCTATATGTGATCTGAGGCTCTTGTATCCTGCTTCCTCCTCTTTCCTTTCACAGGTTTGATTCAGATCAGCATCAGGGTCTGATGGCTTTCCCTCCCCTCTCCTACTTCCTGCCCCTTTCTTCTTTCACAGGTATAAGCCCTCTCTCCCAATTAACCTTTAGTGCTCCTAACTCCATCTCAGCCTCTGCTTCCTGGAGAACCTGACACACCTTTGTTTTAGTTTCGATATTTTTCTTATTCAGCAGATCTAAAGTGGATTTGGGTAATCTATATAATTTTGTATTTCCTCACATGATTCTGATGTCCAACACAATTAGCACCCCTGTGGTGGAAGATTTTAATACATTAATTTCCTGTACAATGTAATTTAGCATTTATAAACTATCTTGAAGTCTTTAAAGTATCATTTACATGGCTGTTTTGGCATTATCAAGTTAAGATGTAAACACAATCATTCTTTGTTTTGTTTTTCAGTAATATTTTAACAGATATTTTTGAACCCAATTAACTATAAACCTCCTCCCAAGCAGGGATGGATGGAGAACTAAGAATGTCAAGGACAGGGTTATGATGTCTGCTGTGTGCATTACTTGGTAATACTTATATGGGGAAACTTAATGGATTGTTTTGTTGTAATAGTCAAATGATGTCAAACTGGTTTGGTCAGAATCATGTACCACATGTCATTACATTAGTTTTATCTCCAAAATAAATGAAGAATCTTTTTAAGGATAAAGCCTAGTGTAGCCAAAATGTCTGGAGGGAGAAAAACAGTGACAGAGGAACTTTCATAAGTGTTTCAAATGGCATAACTGAAGAATGAATGAATTTTGTTTTAATTTCTACCATGATGAAAAAGGTTTATCCATTTATTCTTAGAGAAAAATAAAAAGAGTGTACGCACATGTGCAGGGAGAGGGGCAGAGAGAGAGGGGGGGAGAATGAATCCCAAGCAAGACTGGCAGTGACAGTGCAGAGACAGGCATGGGGCTCAGTCCCACAAACCATGAGATCAGGACCTGAACAAAAGTCAAGAGTTGGATGCTTAATCGACTGAGCCAACCAGGCATCCCTATGATGATGAAAATGTTTAATGTTTTTCCTGATATGGAGAAGTAGACTGATTTTTTTCATAATTTTTCATAATTAAAACAATTTTTTAAAAAATTTAAAAACAGTCAATGTACACATGATTAATACTGTATTCCACTAAAACAATAGGGGAATGTCATGTCACCTCTTATCTATCCTCTTATCATATGGACCATATTTTATGGATACCCAAATTCTTCATAGTCCATATTTAGCTGCTTACATAGTCAATCAACATCTGTTACTTGCTCAATGTCTCACCATAAAATGTACACCATAAAAATACACATTCTCAATTTATCACAAGTGCAAGTATTAGTTATCAATATTTCTACAGCCATATAAGGCTTTCAGAATACTAATTGCTCACATGTGTTCCCTCTCTCTCATCCCTGCTCTTTCTCATAAACATGACAGAAAACATAAACCCAGTTTTGTTAAGCAGTGAAGTTCTTATTATACTCTGACATCATATTAATTAAATGGTTGATTAAAAACAAGAAATGGCTTATATTACAGATATAAAAGTAATGGTATAGGGAAAGACACATTCAAACACAGTTGAAAGGAATGTAAATTAATGCAATTTGACATATCAATCAATAATGAAAATGCACAATTCCTCTCAAGGAAATTATTATACAAATGTACTCAATCAAATGCAAAGAGATATCTCTATGTGGTATTGTTTATAATAGCAAAGCAAACAAATAAAATTTAAATCCTATAAATGTCCATAATTAGGTCTATGGTTAACTAAATTTTTACATAACCATAAAATGGAATTTTCTGTAACCATTCAAATGAATGCAATAGCTCTGCTTGTGTTGTTATAAAACATCTTAAAGACTGATTATATTCTCCATTCTAGAATTCTAAGAAAATCAAAAGAGTAGCTTTACTGTATCTTTATTCATTTGTCCTGGTGCTAGATTCCAGTAACTTATGAAGTATGGAGACATAGCCCATCAACTTCACTTTGTAACACCTCAGACCTCTTCACTCTGTTCACAGTGTCATAGATTGTTCTTCTGTGTGTCACTGGCATAGGATTGCATTTCATCCTGAAAAATAACTCAAAGTCAAAATCAATTCAAAAAATCCAGAAGTCACTAACTACCTACATTTTCCTAACTGGTTCCCACAGCTGTAGTATCTACCAATAGTGCTTGTATTTATCTCTGAGCTTACATGGACATAAGAGAAAGACATTTTTCTATTATCTTATCAAAAAATTTGTTGATTATGTAGGTCTCAGTGTCAAATGAAAAAGATTGTGTGAAAGTAGGGATGGAGAAGAATTGAGTAACATAAGAGGCATTTCAAAGGAGAGAGTCAAAGACTTGGTAAGCTCCTAGCAATGAGATTTGGAGCAGGATAGGATTTAAGCCCAGGTAAGAAGAAAATGATGATGGTGTTGAGAAAGAGAAGTCAAGGATTAGAGATAGTTTCATGGGGGAGGAAAGAAAAATTCAATTTCTCTAAAGATTATAGTCTAAATGAGGCAAACACTCTGTGTTTTGTAAGGTATGGTTCTTGAAATAAAAATATGGTTTAGGGTACATATAAATAGTACATGGTAGATAATTAACAAAGTAAGTATGGCTGACTATTAGCATTATAAAATTAGAATTTTTACTTTCCAATTAAAATACTAATATAATGCAAATTTAAAAGTCTGTAGCTATATTTTGACTTTGTGGCCTAACAGTTTGCAAACATTCTTTTTAATGTTGTCTTACCTCCTCAACAAGTGAGGTAACATCTGTTTTTTTTAATTATCATTTTCTGAAAAATATAAAAATAAGCTGGAGTGAATGTAGGAAACATCATTATTTACTTTAAGATGGGAAAACAGAACAGTACACTATTGACAAGTGCGGATTCTTTTTGATAGAATCCATAATAAGTCAGAACTGAACTACCAGAAATAAGAATGCTACTTTTAGTTAATACATGTAGAAAAGATAATTCCAGATTTCGGAAAAGGAAGTGGAATTATGAAACAGAAGCCTAATATATGGAAAATATGTGACATTAAATGAATTACTGTAATTCTTCACTGGTTTAGAAATTTAGCATACACCATCTCTCCCAAGACGCTGTCCTAAATGGCCTAATTCACTGTGCTTACATGCCTAAGTAACCAAGCAAAATCCCTCTTGTCATTTAGACTAGTCCAAATCTACACATTTAGGATGGCTTCTTGATTATAGGAAAGTTGATGTTAGCATATTAATTTCACCTGTCAGTTCCCTATTTCTGACCCCTTCTGGCCCAATAAGGCTGAGGAAGAAAAAACATCAGTCAATACCTGCAGACACCAAGTTTCAAAAGGCAAATGGATCCCACAATGATCAAGATAATCAAAGTAAAGAAGGAGATATATACAATATTTAAATTTAGTGATGACTGGTCTCCTGTAAAAATAGATACAAAAAATACATAGTTTAACTGTGGTGAATCTGGACAATGAAATATATTTAGCACTAAAAAGAAATGAGCTGCCAAGCCATGAAAAGACACAGAAGAAATTAAATGCATCTTACTAAGTGAAAGAAGTCAGTCTGAGACTGCTACATTCTGTATGACTCCAAGTTTATGACATTCCAGAAAAGGCAAAACTATGGAGACAGTGAAGAGATCAGAGGCTGTTAGAGGTTAGGTGGAGGGAGGGATGAGGAGGTGGAGCATGGAGGACCTTAGGACAATGAAACTACTCTGTGTGAAACTACAATGGGGGACCCCTGCCAGCTGTGTAGATGCTAAAATTCACCAATTTTGCAACTAGAGTGACCCTAATTAAATCACATAGTTTGAGTAATAATGTTGTGTTACCGTTGGCTCATCAACTACCCCAAATGTAACCGGTGGCATAAGTGATGGAGGCAGGGGAGGAGGGTGTGCAGGTGGTGGGGCAGGAGTCATATGGGAACTCTGTGGCCTCCATTCAGTTCTGCTGGGAACCTAACACAGCTCTAAAAACTAAAGTGTATTGAAACTAAATATATATGAAGTATAAAATTATAGATAGATAGATGATAGATAGATGATAGATAGATAGATAGATAGATAGATAGATAGATAGATAGATAGATAGATAGAAATGGTTCAAGGATGTCTCATAGGTCATGGAATTCACTTCTGTGATTTTAAACATTTCTGAGCCATTAAGGGTTCAAATAATGGTTATAATAAAATTGCTTTATCTATTCTGATCCTAAGGATTGTGGCAAGACATCATCCTAAGTCGGGATTTTGTGGTTTTAAGGATTCAAAAATGGTGAATTCGTACAGGAGAGGTGAGGAGAGTAGATTGCTTGGTTACAGGAACAGCAGGGTCTCTCATCTCCACTATTCAGAAACGGGTGGGGAGCTGTAATGGAGGTAATTTGGAAAATTACCTAATTCTGAGGTCACCGTTCTTCCAGGGCCCTGAACCTGACTGAATGCTGAATGCTGACTGAATGACTTAAATGCTGTCACAGTATAAAGCTCAGCCTGACAAGAGAAGAAGACCACAGGAATCGCCAGCTCTGAGAGGCAGTGGTTTTAGACCTTGCTCCTGCTGTGCCCTGAATGGGTCCCCCAGCAGAGGGGGTGAGTGGAGACTAAGCAGGCTGCTGTCCACTCCCTCTGCCTTCCTTCAACAGTTTGTTTTGACACATTGCATTTCTCTGTATTCTATTTGAAAATAAACATCTTCTTGCAGTTGAAAACAACAACATCTGTTTTGAAACCCCCTCCTGAAAACTAATGCGCTGTCCTTCTTTAGAAGTGGAACCACAGAGGGGAGCAGGGGTGGCTCAGTCGGTTCAGTGTCCCCCTTGGGTTCAATTCTCACAGTTTGTGAGTTCCTTGCATTAGGCTCTGTGCTGACAGCTCAGAGCCTGGAGCCTGCTTCAGATTCTGTGTCTCCCCCTTTCTCTGACCCCTCTATGCTAGTGCTCTGTCTCCCTCTGTCTCTCAATAATAAATAAACATAAAAACAAAAAAAGCGTAACCGTAGAGGCTGAAGATCTGCCCTCCAAGAGAGACGGAAGGAGACTGGCTGGGAGTGGACCAGACTGTCTTTCAATTCTGAAATTCTACTGATATAACATCATATGGTAATACCTGGTGGTTGAATTTCATACACAACCAGGGCACCATTACTCTTCTCCAGAAATACTGCTAAAATCATTTTTAAAATCACTTTATGAAAGGATATTGGAAAATGATAGTTTAAAGAAATGGGTTTTTTCTCTTCTTCCTTTTTAAAAATTACTATAATATCAGGCAATTTTTTAAAAATAGACTTGCAAAGACAAAGAGAACATGGAGGAAGACAAGCAGATGAAATATTTCAACTTGTTTTTAGGTGAAAAATGAACAGAAGAAGGCAAGTCATTTAGGGTGGAATAAGTAAGGATATTAGTGTCCCACAGAAGACCTAGAAGATTCTAGAATAGGAAGGACTAAATATATAAAAAGGGATTTGTAGGGGGTGAAGTGTGAGCTAAATGCTGGAAGCTTCTTTGAAGGTCTGTATTGATTTTTTAAAATATTTTATTTATTTCTGAGAGAGAGAGAGAGACAGTGCGAGCAGGGGAGTGTCAGAGAGAGAGGGAGATACAGAATCTGAAATAGGCTCCAGGCTCTGAGTTAGCTGTCAGCACAGAGCCCGACGCGGGGCTCCAACCCACTAACCGTGAGATCATGACCTGAGCCGAAGTCGGACGCTTAACCGACTGAGCCACCCAGGCGCCCCTGAAGGTCTGTATTGAAAAGAGGCAGGCTGCCCAGTACACCCCCACCCTGAGCAGGCAGGTCACTCACTACACCTTCACAAACAGCAGGAAGTAGGAAGTCTGACCCAGACAGAGTGAGCTGGAGAGTCAAGGATCCAGACACAGTGGAGGGTGGAGATGACGTGCTAGACTAAAGAGAAAAGGCTGAGTTCTGAACAGTCTCTCCCTCCCTCTCTGTCTCTGTCTCTGTCTGTCTCTCTGTCTCTCTCTCTCTCACACACACACACACACACACACACACACACTTCCCTCTCTCTGCTCCCATAACAGGAATGGTCAGCCTTAGCCCACTAAGGAAACAGACTGGAGACTTATTTTCTGCAGACCCTGAGCAGAATCAAAGATAAGACCTTCAGATAATTAAAGAATCCCTCATTAGAAAAAAGTTCATTGACCCTCTTTCGGCCTATTGATGCCAACTAGTTGGCAGGACCACCCACAGACACAGCCTCCAATCAACTCACTTTTGAATGCTCACTTTGAAATGAACGGGGGACCAAGGATCACTAGAGGTTAGAAAAGCTTCATACATAAACCAAAAACACTAAAACTAGCAAAGGTCAGGAAGGCAGAAGGGACGCAGATTAAACAGACTTGGAATCAGGCAGAGGACGGACAAGGGCAAAACGTGTCCAGGACCAGAGCTGTGCAGCAGGTCTAGGGGCCCAGCAGGCAGATTAGAACAAGAGCGCGTAAACACTCAAGAAAGGATGTCTTCAGGGGAAAAAAGAAATGATAGGTTATCTAATAAATTTGGCCATGTGCAATGAGAAACAATGAAATCTGGCCATGTGTAGCAACTTGGATGGACCTTGAGGGTGTTATGCTGAGCGAAATAAGTCGGGCAGAGAAGGACAAATATCATATGTGTGCACGTAATGGAGGATTAGGAGGAACTTGACGGGGGAACAAGGGGGAGAAGAAGGGCGGAAATGGTGGGGGAAAGGGAGAGAGGCAAACCATGAGAGACTCTTGAATGCTGACAAAAACTGAGGACTGATGGATGTGGGGGGGAGGGGGGTGGGCATGGAGGAGGGCACTTGTGGGGATGAGCACTGAGTGTTATGTGGAAACTAATTTGACAATAAACTATTTGTAAAAAAATAAATAAATAAATAAATAAATTTGGCCATGTGGAAAATTGCAGTAAGAGGAGTTTCCAGACTTTATCACTGAGCTTATGACGATTAGGAAGTACCTATATTTTTAAGAAACTAAAGAGTAAAGTTTAAATGGATCATAGAGGTTATTATACAATAGCTAAGAAATTATAGAAGAACCTGGAAAATAAAATCCTACCAAAAACATTTGTGAAGAAAACTTATGAGTGACTGGACCTTTCTTAAAAAGCATAAATATTTGTTTAAAAACACACTTTATCCTTCTCCTAAAACCATAAGTAGTATTTTAATAGTACACTCACTACTCAAGCCAACTTCCTACTTGTATAGAACAGAAAGAATTAAATTTAATAATTTAAATTCTTTTTATTTATTTTTATTATAATTATTTACAAGGAAACATCATTTAAAATATGGCTTCTGAAACCAATTTTCTGCATGATTCTTGTGGACATAACCCTTAACGGTGGAAGAGAAGGATATAAAAGAGAGGCTGGGGAGACTATCCTTGAGTGAAATTCTCCACACACTCCTTTTTCATTCTTCCCTAACTTCTCTGAAAGAATGAAAACATCATACAAAAGCTAGAATTACTAACCTGAATTTAGGTCTATGGACAGACTCTGGTTGCCAGTGAGATGGGACACAGAGCAGGACACAGTGGACACCGGGTGGTCCTCCCAGAGGCACGTGCTCTGCACAGTCACTGTGTCATTGCCCAGTGGCTCTTCCTCAGTGTCACAATCTCCCGCTGGGGTCCAGGAGATCTGCGCCGCTGGCCTCCCTGCAGCTGCCCTGCACACGACAGTTCCATTCTTGCCTCGAAAGAGGGTCGCCTCAGGGGGCACTGCAGACATGCAGGGGGGGAAACACTTGAGTCTTAACTCAGGGATATGGATCCAATACAGAGAGACATTTGTTTGAGTCCGAATCGGGTTATCCGAAACACCACCATACATGATGCTCCTTACCTGTCACTTGCAGGTGATATCCTTGATAGAAATTCCCTTCAGGTGTGGCCACTTCACACCTGTAATATCCATCATGGGTGATGGCCACTGGATCAATCTGAAGGACAGGGTTCTGATCATGTCTGGTGTCCCAGGATATTGTCTCGTCACTACAGTTTTTGGCCCTGGTCTCGTTCGTATCTCTCCTGTAGGCTCTAGTGCAGGCAGGCTGGTCTCTGAGGGTTATTTCCCAGGTGGTTACCTGCACAGCTGTCGAGGTGACGGGAGGGCAAGAGAGCACAGCCTTTGTACCCACACGTACAGACAGGGAAGTGTTAGCTGGACACATGCAAGAAATGATGAAAGAGAAGCTTGATAAAGAACTTCATGTGTTATATTTTCCATAACATACTACATAAAATTGTACTAGGATGTGACCTTATTCCAAAAATATGAGGTTTACATAAAAAATAAAGCATATGCAAAATGCATATAACACATTAAAACTTATCCAAAGATGAACCCATTTTTCTCCCTTATCCTGTGGTCTTAGGTAACCTATACCTATTATCAGTGTGAGAAATATTTGAAGTACTTGTACATTGATTCAGAAGTTTTGATATGTAGAAACAAACAAGAAAACACAATATAAATTAATGGGAAAAAATCATCTAAATCTAACCTTTTGGTAATAGAGACTATTAGATTTATCTTATAACTCATGCTCCTTAGTATAGAAAGTAGAAAAATTGTGATTTGATATCCTCCTCCTAAGTATTAACGAGAGAGAATGGATTAGTAATATCAGAACTAAATGCCTATCCCTAAAGGTGGCACTTCAGACAAATATAAACATTAAAAACATAAGATGGCATTCACGTTGACCAGTCTGGACATTTTTAACACTAATTTTTTTTTTTTGAGAATCACACAGTCAGTAATATAAACAGATCTTCCTTCCTTCCTATTGAGTCACACATAAGCTGCAAACTGTTCAACTGTGAACTTTGCTCACAGATTGTGTCTGTATATTCTATATTATTAGGAGAATTACATGAATTCACTCCTTTTGTCCAACTTTAAAGTCACAATTAAGCCCTACAACATACAACATAATGGGTCCCTGACTGGGAGGGGTTTGCTGAGAGAGGATTAAGGAAGTCAGGGTCTAGGCACCTATAACCCAGGTGACTGGCAAGGAGCCCATCACTTTCACAAGGGCAGAACCGGTGTGATGGGGCAAAGTTGTTTTGTGGATGGAGCTTGTGAGTGCTAAACTCTCGTCTGAGATCCCTCCTCTCCTTCTTTGGCGTACTTGCCTCTTCTGTGATGGGCTCATGCCCTCAAATTTCACAGACCAATCAAGATCCCATAACTACAGGAATCAGGGGAGGGAGGATATTTACTTCCTTCCTCACTTTATTTGTTTGTTTGTTTGTTTGTTTATTTGTTTATTTATTTTTGACACAGAGACTGAAGGAGAGGAAGTGAAAGAAACTTAAGCAGGCTCCGCACCCAGCCCAGCATGAAATCCAGATGGAGCTTGATCCCACGACTATAAAATCATGACCTGAGCCTAAATCAAGAGTCAGACACTTAAATAACTGACTCACACCCATGCACCATGCACCCCAGTGGGGCGGTGGGGGGTGGATTTTAAAGCAGATCTGAAGGCCAGTGAAACCCATGATGCATCCACCACTGCACATGGCACCCCCCACTCCCGCACCCCCCGCACAGGGAAAATGCGCCCCGGCCAATGTTAGAGGCAAGCAAGAAGGTGGCTGCTTGGAGAACAGCTACAGGGGGGTGAGGGTGAGCTCCGTGTGCCCCAACAAGATGCTGACGATGAAACCACAAAGGGAAGAGGCTGATGAGGAGGACCTTGTGAATGTTCTTTTGTGTTCTCAGGGCTTTGTACCTCTGCTTCTGAACAGTCTAAGGTTTCCATATTTTGCCTGCTTTTATTCTCGAGATCTGACTCTCTTATTTTAAAGGAAATTACCAGCTAACCAAATAATCATATGTGCTTTAACAGGGGCACCGTCTCCAGAGAAGTAGCTCCCGGGGCGAGGATCCCAAGCACCGTGGACACTGTCTGTTCTCTCACCTTCCTCTGCTCTCTGCCCTCCAGCAACCCCCTCCACCTGTGACCGCTGTTTTTCACCCTTTCTGAATCTTCCTCTTTCTCCATTCACACCGGTTGTGATAATTTACCAGTGACCAGGTCTCCTCCACACTCAGAGGGGCTGGCACCTGTCTCTCAAATATAATCTCACAGCCCTGTGATCAGCTACGGGGATTTCACCTCCCGTCACAGAGGAAAGTGGGTAGATTCACCCCCTTTGCTCCGGAACCAGCAGTCACGTCCCAGCTTTCCTGCTTCCTGTGTCTACGACTCTCCTCCCGTCTCCTCCCGCCTTCTGCACACAGACAACCCCCATGGGCTTTTGGGCTTTTCCTTTCTGTGCTCACTGCCAGACCCTAGGTCCACACAGCTGGGTGCCCGCAGAAGCCTCCTGACGTCTGTGTCTGTCTCCCATCTCTCCACTCTTCAGTTCACGCCTGGCCTTGCAGCAGGTCCAGGATTCTGTGACACGGGTGTGATCCCCTCCCACTAGCAGCCTTCAGAGACCTCCCTCTGCCCCAAGACAGTCCTTGCATGTCCTGGCGTTGGCTTCTAAGGCCTCTTTTTCAAACTGACTCACCTTTGCCATCCTGCCACCCCAAGGTCACCCCCACACTTCACAAAGAAAGCACCAAGCACACCTGCAGATCTAGGTCTGTCCTCACATCGTTCCTGCCCTCTCTGGGGTGGCCTGCACGCCACTGTCTGTCTCCGAAAATGCTCCTCTTCCCCTAAGAGCCAATTCACATGCTGCATCCGCTGTGAAGCCTCCTCAGAGCCTTGCTGCTTAACCTTCTCCTCTACGTTCCCGGCACACCTGATGTGGGTGCTCATCTCCTCTATGTTATATGCCATCTGGGCTACATCTGGGCTCCCCCACAAAATGGGCCCCTTAGGGTGCTCTGGTGCTCTCGCCCCTCTCGTCCCCCCCCGGCCCCCCGTGTCCCCATATGGCCCAGCCCAGTGCCTGGCAGGGAGGGCTCCTTAGTCCTCAGAGGGAATGTGAACTGCCTCGGGGGAGGAGGGCCGGGTCATCGGGGTCCCTCACACCTCGGCACTCAGGTCACCGTTTTCTTCAGCTGGGCTCACGCTGGCCCCCTGGCCAGACCATCAGCCCTGCTTCTAAGGAAGTTCAGCTCTTCCTCCCCTTAGCTCTGGCCTCTGGAAAAAAATTTAAAAACATATTACCTGCTGCAGGAGGTATGAAACTTCTCTGTTGTCTGTCTGTAAGTGAACTATTTGTTGAAGCTACAAAACATTCAGAGAAAAGGAAATGAAATAAACTTTAGTGATTTAAATGGAGTGCAAGTCACTGTTTATCCACATCTTACACACACTAAGATAGAAAATCAGTTATTTTTGGGGTGCCTGGGTGGTTCAGCCATTTGAGCGACATTGGCTTGGGTCATAATCTCACAGTCTGTGGTTTTGAGCCTAGTGTGGGGCTCTGTGCCAACAGCTTAGAGCCTAGAGCCTGTTTAATATTCTGTGTCCCCCTTTCCCTTTGTTCCTCCCCTGCTCATGCTCTGTCTCTCTCTGTCTCAAAAATAAATGAAGAGTTAAAAAAATAGAAAAAGAAAATCAGTTATTTGTAAATAAATTCCACAAAAAGCTTTACAAAGCAGAAGTTAGAAGTTCTTCCATCATTATGTTGACAAACATGTTAACATTTAAAACTTACACCATAAGCTCTTAATCAATGATTTACCATTCATGAGACACCTTGCTCTGTACTTAGAATAATTTCCTAAGTACCCTTAGGAACCCTGCCTCCACCCCTCTCCTAGCCACAGTGGATTAATCCATCATGGGTGCCTCACATGAGGGGGGCTGAGTATAGTGCTTTCTACAGATCCACTCCCGGATTAAACTTTTTTGACCCACTCATGAGCACCTCACCCAGCCACACAAATGTGAGTACTTTCACAAGAATTTTGGAACCAGATTGAGAATAGTTCACCCTTCTTTTCCTCCCACTTTCTTACAGTGATGGCTAATTTTATGTGTCCACTTGGTTAAGCCATAGTTCCTAATATCTTTAGTTAAACATAATTTCTGTCAAAGTAGTGTTCCTCGTTGTTGTGGTGGTTTTTTTTTTTTTTTAAGATAAGATTAGCATTTAAATGAGTAGACTTCCAGTAAAGCAAACTGCCTTCCATAATGTGGATAGGGCTTGTTCAACAGTTGAAGGCCTTATTTAAAAAAAAAAAATTGACCTGCTGGGAAAGGAAAGTTCTGTAGCAGACTGCCTTCAGACTCAAACTGCTCCTCTTCCCTGGGTCTCTAGCTGCTGGCCCAGTCTGCTGATTCTAGACTTGCCAAGTCTCTACAATTACATGAGCCAATTCATTAAAATAAATCTCTCTCTTTCCTCTCCCTTCCTCTCTCCTTCTGTCCCTCCCTTCTCTATCTGTTAATCTGTTTCCATGAGGACTGCTGACTAATGCATCTATCCTGGAAGAATGAAGCAGAAGCATGGAGAGATAGAGAGAGAAAGAAAGAGAGAGAATGATACTCCTCATCTAAAGGAAGTTTCTAATTCCATCATTCCTGAGACCCACATGCATTCCTTCCCTTGGACTTTCTGGCAATCAAAGACTTTCTGACAAAGTAGTTCTGATCGACTTCAAATCTGGGTTCTGAAAAAGATCTGTATTGATGTAAAACACAATTTTTTAAATTATGATTTATCCTGTGGAATATTCTGTGTGTGCTTGAGAATATTCTACTATTGTTGGAAAGAATGTTCTAAACATGTCTGTTGGGCCATTTGGCCTACAGTGTTGTTCAAGTCCACTGTTTCCTTATTGGTTTTATGTTGGAATGATCTGCTCATTTTTCATTGTAAGGTGTTACAGTTCCCTGAAAATGCTGTATTGTTTTCTATTTCTTCTTCAGTCTGTTAATATCTGCTCTATATATTTAGGTACTCTCATGTTGGAGGCATAAATATTGACAAGGGTTAAATCCTCTTGATGAAATGACTTCTTTACCATTTGAAAGTGAAATTCTCTGTCTTTAGTTACAGTTTTTGACTTAAAGTCTATTTTCTCTAGTATTAAGTAGAGCTATCCCTACTTTCTTGGTTTTCATTTCCCTGGAACACCTTTTTCCATCCATTCACTTTCAGCCTACATGTATCCTTGGCTAGAGTCAGTCTCTTGTAGATGACATTTTGTTGAATCTTGGTTTTTTACACATTCACCCACTATATGCCATGTGATTGGAGGATTTAGTCCATTTAATATTTTTTAATGTTTACTTATTTTTGAGAGAGAGAGAGAGAGAGTGCAAACTGGTGACGGGCAGAGAGAGGAGGACAGAGGACCCAAACAGGCTCCCAATATGGGGCTCAAATTCCCAAACCACAAGATCATGACCTGAGCTAACTGAGACGCCCAACCAACTAAGCCACCCAGGTGCCTATATTTATATTAAGACAACTGATAGGAAAGTATGTACTTATTATTGCCTTTGTGTTCATTGTTTTCTCACTGTTTTGAAGTTCTGTTTTTCCTTTCTTCCTCTCTTGCTGGCTTCCTTTGTGATTTGATGATTTTTTTGTAGCGGTGATTGGATTTCTTTTTCTGTATCTTTTTTGTATCTAACAAATGTTTTTCTTTGTGGTAACTATGAGGCATATTTACAACACCTTATACTTATTTTAAGCTGATTACAGTGTAATTTTATGGCATACAATACTCAATATTTTTACATCTCCTCCTTCATTTTATTTTACTGGTGTCACAATTTATATATTTTTACCTTGTGTATTCACTAACAGATTATTATAGCTATAATTATTTTTAAAAGTTGTTTTTAGCATTTGTACTAGTATTAAAAGTAATTCACACACCACCATTATGGTATTACATTATTCTGAATTTAATTTTATATTGGCATTTACCAGTGTGTTTTAATGTCCATGTGTCACTGTATTGCTGGTTAACATCTTTCATTTTATTTATTTATTTATTTATTTATTTATTTATTTATTTATTATTTATTCATTTTAAATTGATTTATTTGTTTTTGAGAGACAGTTCGATTGGGGAGGGGCAGAGTGAGAGGGATAGAGAGAGAATCTCAAGCTGGCTCCACACTGTCAGCACAGAGTCCAATCTGGGCTCAATCCTACGACCAGGAGATCATGAACTGAGAGTCGTACCCCTAACCTACTGAGCCACCCAAGTGCCCAGCATCTTCTTATTTCAATTTGAAGATCTTCCTTTAGAATTTCTTGTAAGCAAGTTTAGTACTAATGAAGTCTGTCAGCTTCTATTTTTCTTCCAGGGAAGTCTTTATCTCACCTATATTTCTGATTTGCTAAGTGAAGGATTTCCATGGCTGGATTTTTCTTTCAGGACTTTGAATGTATGATTCCACTTTCTGGGTCTGTAAGTTCTGTGCTGAGAAATATAAGCTTCCTTTATATGTGACCAGTCACTTTTCCTTCGCTGCTTTCATAAATTTCTCTTTTCCATTTGATTATAATATGTCTCAGTGCAAATTTCTTTATGGTCAGTCAAGTTCTTTGGTCTTCATAGATCTGAATGTTCATTCCCCACAGATTTAGGAGATTACTTCTCATTATTACTTTTCCTAAGCTTTCTGCTCCTTTCTTTTATGCTCATCTGGGGCTCCAGTAATGCCTATATTATTTTGTTTTCTTGGTGTTTCATAACACTCAGCGTTTCTTCACTCACTTCCACTTTTTCTGTTTGTTCACTTATTATCTCTGACTGGATGATTACAAATTATGTTTTTGTGTCAACTAATTCTTTCTTCTGCTTGATGAATCCACTGTTGGAATTTTAAATTGAATTTTTCAGTATTCTTTGCATAAAATTCGTGGTTGGTTCCTTTACATGATTTCTACCTCTTTTTTTGAACATTCCCTTTGTTCATAGATTTTTTTCCAGATTTTATTTAGGTGTCTATCTGTGTTTTCCTGTAGCTCACTGAGCTTCATTAAGTAGGCTATTTTGGAAGTCTTTGTCAAGCATGCAGGGCTCCATTTCTTTGAGATCAGCCACTGGGGCTTGATTTTGTTCCGTTAGTGGGGTCATGTTCCTTTCAAAACTTTTTTGAAAGCTTGGCATTGCTAGTGTCTTCATACTTGAAGAAGCTCCCCCAGTCTTTACTGACTGATTTCTTCAGAAAAAGGTCTTCTCCTGTCAAGCCAGCTAAAAATTCTGGGAGGTCTCTCAGACCTTTCCTAAGGATGCACCTTCTCCATTCCCCAGGTTCCTTCTTGAGGTAGAAGTCTTAGGGATTCTGTGTTTTCTCTCCATCCCACAAAACCAGACAGAATTCTGAAATCCTACTATTTATTTGCACTAGGAAATGCCCTGAAGTGTTCAGGGTTGTGGGCCTTCTCCCAATCCAGTGAATCAAGTGACTGCTGATACCCATGCACACTATCTACAGAGGTTCCTGTAGAACCTGGATCTGCGGGAAAGTGTGGTGCTGGCCACAGAGAGGGGGATAGGATTCTGTATTACCAAGACAAGGTGACAGCACCTAATAGTCAGGGGCAAAGTAGATAATCATAAACAGTAGCAAGGCCAGAATGGCAACCAAGAGGCTCTGACCTGAAAGATTTGTGGCAAAATCAGATAAATCTTAGTGTTCTTAGGAGTAAGAGAGAAGGGCGGCCAAAGACAGTATGATTTGCCCTATATGACCAGATCAAGGATAAATGAATGTCTTGCATCAGTTTTGCCTCCTGCAACAAAAATACCATAAAGTGGCTTAAGTAACAAATACTTTATCTCACAGTTCTAGAAGCTATAAGTGTAAGATCAAAGCACTAGCAGACATGGTGTCCAGTGGGAGCCCACTTCCTGGCTTGTAGACAGCTGTCTTCTCACTGTATTCTCGCATGGAGTGGCAGAAAGAGAGATAAAGAGAAAAAACAAGCTTTCTTGGGTCTATTCTTATAAAGGTACTAATCTGAGAGCTCCATCCTCATGACTGAATTACCTCTCAAACCCTCCATCTCCAAATACCATCCCATTGAGATTAGGTTTCAACATATGAATTTTGGATGACACATTCAGTCCATAGCAGTGAGTAAAGACTCGGGTTAGTTGCCACAATGGAAAATCATGGTCCTTCACCCAGTTTCTATATTCAAACCAGTTTTCAGACTCAAAGTCACACGATGATGAGCTCACATTTCAAATTACAAAACACAGGAAGAAACAAGGAACCATAAAGTCAGATAATATTCTTTCTATTGGCTTCCCTCTGTTATTCCTAGAGAGAAGAATAAGATTCAGAACTTCAGATAGTAGAATTACAAAACATAGGACATAAAATAAATGTGTTGAGAGTGTTTAAAGACATAAGAGGAGAATTATAAAACAAGAAATATATGCCTCTCCTATCCCTCAATCCCCCCAAAATAACTAGGCAGATTAGGAGAATACAACAGAGTTCAATTTACTCATTGACTCTCTGCTTAGTCAACCTGGAAAACTATAGTGAAAAACACAAACCTATAGCATACAAGAAAGGGAGAATTTCAGAAAGTCCTAAATGACATCTTCTTCCAATATAAGACCATTTTGTGCCTTAAAAATCTGCTCTTTAGTGTAGTCACTTTTTTTTTTAACATTTATTCAGTTTTGAGAGACAGAGCACAAGTGTGGGAGGGACAGAGAGAGAGGGAGACACAGAATCTGAAGCACACTTGAGGCTCTGAGTTGTCAGCACAGATACTGATGTGGGACTCAAACTCACAAACCGTGAGATCATGACCTCAGCCAACATGGATGGTTAACCCATTGAGAAACCCAGGTGCCCCTAGTGTAGTCACTTTCATGCATTATTTTAGCTACATCATCCGGGTAACTTGCTGCAGCTTCTACATCAGCACCTGCTGCTTCACCTTGTACTTTTGTGTTATGAAGATGATTTCTTTCCTTAAACCTTATGAGCCACCCTTTGCTAGCTTCCAACTTTTCTTCTGCAGCTTCCTCACCTCCTTCAGCCTCCATCGAATCAAGAAGAGTTAGGGCCTTGCTCTGCATTAGGCTTTGCCTTAAGGGAATGTTGTAGCTGTTTTGGTCTTCTTTCCAGATCACTAAAACTTTCTCCTGATCAGCAATAAGGCTGTTTCACTTCCTTATCATTAGTGTGTTCACTAGAGTAGCACTTTCGTTTCCTTCAGGAATTTTTCCTTCACATTCATAACTGGCCAACTGCTGGCACAAGAGGTACAACTTTTGACCTGTCTCAGTTTTCAGCATGCCTTCCTCACTAAGCTTATAAGTCGTTTATTATAAGTTTTTATTATAAGTGAGAAAATGCAACTTCTTTCACTTGAACACTTCGAAGTCATTGGGAGGTTATTAATTGCCCCAATATCAATATTGTTGTGTATCAAGGAATAGGGAGGCCTGATGAGAGGGAGATAGAGATGGGGGAAGAGCCAGAACACACACACACACACACACACACACACACACACACAGACTCACACGTACCACTTACATTCACCATCTCATATGGGCATGGTTACTGACACCACAAAATAATTGCATAGTAACATCAGAGATTACTGATTCCAGATCACCACAACAAATATAATGTAATGACAAAGCTTCAACTAATTCAGGAATTACCAAAATGTGACACAGAGATGCAAGGTGAGCAAATGCTGTTGGAAAAATGGTGCTTGATAGACATACTCGATGTGCATTTGGCACACACCTTCAACTTATAAAAACCACAATACCTTCAAAATGCAATAAAGTGAAATGCAATAAAACAACAAGATATGCTTGTATATCTGGTAACAGATTCAAAATACATGAGGCAAAATTTAGAAAACTAAATAAGAAATACTGTAACAGAAATGAAGAATGTCTTTGATGACCTTATTAATAGGCTGGATATGGCTGAGGAAAGAATCTCTAAGCTAGAATTCTATCAATCGAATTCTCCAAAACTGAAAAGCAAAGAGAATAAACATTAAAAAGACAGAACAGGATATCCAAAGACTGTGGGACAACTCCCAAAATGTGTAAAACACGTGTACTGGAAAAAACAAAAGAAAGAAGAATGAGACAAAGGAATAGAGGAAATCTTTGAAACAATGACTGCGAATTTCTCCAAGTTCCTATCAGATACCAAATAAAGTTCCAGGAAGCTTGGAGAACACTAACAGGAAAAAATCTGAGGAAAATCACCTAGACCTGGTATATCATATTCAAACTACAGAAAATCAAAGATAAAGAAAAAATCTGGAAAAAAAAAACAGAGAAATAAACACCTTGTAGACAAAGATGAGAATTATATCCAACTTTTCCTAAGAAACCATGCAAAGAGAGAATGAAGTAAAATATTAAACATGTTAATAGAAAAAAAACCACCACCCTAAAATTCTGTATCCTAGAATGTTACCCTTCAAAAGTAAAAGAGAAATAAAATACTTTTTCAAACAAACAAAAATTGCGGGAAGCTGTTTCCAGTGGACCTACCTTGGAAGAAATGTTAAGAGTCCTTCAAGGAGAAGGAAATAATATAAGTCAGAAATTTGGAATTACGTAAATGAAGAAAGACAATTGGAGAATGAATAAGAGAATGTAAAATAAAAGCTTTATTTTTCTTAATTGATCTAACAGATAACATTTTATTCAATATAATGATAGCAGTAATGTAGTCTTTGAATATATATTTATATGTTTTATATAGGATATAGATGTTAAATATATAAATATATAAGGTAGATTTTTATATGTTTAATTGGATAGAGTATATTTATATATATAAGAGAAACATATACGATCTCACAGGAATGGCCAAAATATAGAGCTCTAATACTATCCAATGCTGGCAAGGATAAGAAGCAACATGGACTCGTTGATTACAGGTGGGAATGCAAAATGCTACAGCAACTTTGGAATACAGTTTGGTAAGTTCTTAAAAAACTGAACACACTCTTACAATGCAATCCAGCAAAAGCACTCCTTGGTATTTACCCAATTGGGTTAAAAATTATGTCTACACAAAGTCCCCCATGCGGATGTTAATAACAACTTTATTCTTAGTTGCCAACACTTGGAAATAACCAAGTTGCCCTTCAGTAGGTAAATGGCTGAATAAACTGGGATATATGCAGACAATGGACTATTATGCAGTGCTGAAATGAATAACCTATAGAGCCATGAAAAGACAACGCGGAAACTGAAATACCTATTACTAAGTGAAAGAAGCCTAAGAAAAGGCTACATATCACATAATTCCAACTATATGACATTTAGAAAAAGGCAGAAACTGTGGAGACACTAAAAAGATTAGTGGTTGTGACGGTTTAGAGGGGAGAGAGGATAAATACACAGAACACATACGTAAACTATGGCCTTGGGGTGATAATTATGTGTCACTGTAGGTTCAGCACTTGTAACAAATGTAACACTCTGGAGGGGATGTTGATGATGAAATAGAAGCTGCAGCTAGGTGGGGTTAGGTGGTATAGTCCATGGGAAATCTCTGCACCTTCCTCTCAATTTTGCTGTAAACATAAAACTGCACTCAAGAAAAAATTAAGTCTTAAAATACAAATGGCAGAAAACCTTTTTATACTAAATGGATGTTTAATTTTATAAAATATACATTGCAATCTTATGGGTTTGCCCCTTCAAACACATAATGGAGCCAGTCACATGAACAGGTTTTAATTATTCTTTTCAATTATGTCTTTTTGTTAAGTCTGTTTCCTGCCACATCTAAATATTTCTCTAGTGTTTTCATGAGTCAAATCTTCTACTCACTGTCTTTTGAGTTCTTCCCAAATGTTCCTCCCTCCCTCTCAATTTCTTTCATCTTTTCTGCCCCTAGTTTCCCATCTTTCTTTCTCTAAAGAACTGATCTTCTTCACAGTTAACTAGACATATATGGAAATGCGGAAGCCAGTGTTGCTCAGAATGTTTTGGAACTTCTTTCGGATGACTGCAGGGAAATACAGGATGGATTCAAAAGTTTGTTTTCACCTGCCTAAGCTGCTCTAGTTTTAGCCACTCCAATCATTAGTTTACTGTTCATGCTTTGGGAAAACTTTCCATTTGTTGTGGTGTCAGCTTGAAATCATTAATGGACTTCGAATAAATAATCATTCTTATTTATGTTCTCTGATCCTCATTTTCTGAAACAAATATTCCCCCCATATACTTTTTGCCTCTATTTTAAAATTTAAAAACCCCAAGTAGAACTTTAGGGTTTCCTTCTTAGCCTGTGAGCTAGAAATACTAGAAATATCAAAGGAGAAACAATAATCACACAAATAAACATTAGGTCCAAAAAATAAGAATTCAAAGAGACAATAAAAGTGTAAACTGAAACACCGGAGGAAACACTACATTTTACCTAGTCACACAAGTTCAGTTTCACTCCATTCTAGGACCCCTCATATTACTCTGGACTCAGCCGGACAACTAGTCAGTGCACCATTGACATAGGGTAGATCAGAAGGCTTGCTGGTAATAAACAAACTAATCACTACCACTAGGAGAAATAATAAACCATTTTATGAGTGGACAAAGGGCCTCCTTGTTACAACTGAAAATATGTTTACTTTTTGCAAAAAAAGTCACAGCATAAGACTTACCAGACACCATGATATTGACGGAGATCAGAACCCACAAAGCTGACATCCTCCCCAAAGCATGCATTTGGAGTGGTTAGCTACAGACCAGCCACGGACAGGAAACGTTGCTGAGTTTTGTTGAGTGATAAAGAAAAAAACCCAACACATTCATTGGTTCCTGCATTTGAAGTGACAAAATGAATTATGTAGCAATTCATTTAGAAAGTAGCATTTTGGGAAGCATAGATTATACATGGTAAGATGCACAAATCTTTAGTGGACAGCTTCACGGATTTTTACCTGTATATGCACCCAGATAGTCACCTCCAAAACCAAGGTAGGACCATTTCCACTCTCCAAGAAGTTTTCTTCCTGCTCCTTCTCTGTCAATATCCCTTCCCAAGAGAGAAACTCTACTCTGATTTCTATCACCATTTTGCCAGTTTTTGAACTCCATAAAAATGAAATTCTTTACATAGTTCATTTTTGTAATGCCATGTAATGGTTCTTTGGTCTGACCATGCCAAATTTATTCATCTATTTTGCTGTGTACTTGGATTTTCCATTTCAGGAATAACACAATTAAGGCTTCTATGAACACTTGTGTTTTGTGTACATATTTTTTTGGTTTACTTGGGCATTTATTTTCTTCGGTATATACCAAAAAAATTAAAATTGATTGCCATAGATAGGATAGACATAATATGTAGCTTCAATAAAGATTTCCTATTATGAGTCGAATTGTGTTCTGTCAAAATTCATATGTTGAAATTCTAACCCTCACTTCCTTAAAAGTGACCTTATTTTGATCAGGGTCATTGCAGATGTAATTAGTTGCGATGAGGCCACAGGATTAGGTTAAGCCCTAATCCAGTGACTGGTTCATTATAAAAAAGAAGGAAATTGGACACATACACACAGGGGGAATGCCATGTAGAAATGAAGGCAGAAATCAAGACACAACCTTCACAAGCCAATGAAGTCCAAAGATTTCCAGCACACCACTAGAAGCTAGGAGAGAAGCAAGGAACACATTCTTCCTGCTCTTGAAGATTTCAAGATGCATTTGATGGTGGGACACAACACATTTGAATAGATGAGAAGCAGAGCTCTTTCTTACTTATAGCTCCAAAAAACAGAAGACTGCAACAGAGGGCCACACAGGGCCCTCACAGACAGCGTTAACACCAAGCTAGAGCTGTAGAAGGCAAGTGGGGTGGAGTTAGGTTTGAAGGGCTCCCAGACAGGCTACTTTGAATAATTTTCCAGGTTCCTGTGTATAACTGTATATGGGCCTGTTCCTACTTGTCTGGTACTTGGTCCTGGGGCCTGGAGTGTGAAAGCCCAGATTAGGGAAATTGGTGGGAAGTTGATTTAATCAGTTGCTCAAGAAGGGAAACTGACTCCTCTAGACAAAGCCTCAAAAATGGGTCTAGAAAACATTTTTAAAAATTAAGACCTACATTAAAATTGACCCTTATATCAGGTTGAGTCTTGATTATTTGGGGTATTTGAGTACATAAATTGCCCTAATCAGTTTCCTTTTATTGGGGATGAGTGTTATTTAATCTAAGGTCATTAGTAGCAGCATCAGGGAGAATATAAAATCAGTAAATGAGAAATATGTTGCCTCCAGAACCCAAAAAGGGATTAAAAGTTGTTGGATTTGTATGTCCTTAGTGAGTATGTTAAACAAAACTCCTTGGATAAAAATGTTATTAATGTAATATCATACTTGGTGTTTATGGGGAAAGACGGATGCAATTAAAATCTTGCCTGCAAAGCCTGTGTGTGACGGCAGGGCTGTTGAGATAATCCAAGGGCCATCCAGTAAATGTGTGTTGTTCCCCTTTGAAGGCAAACTCAAAGGCTGCTGAAATAAGCACTGAATAAAACATATTAGATGTTGTTACTAGTTTTAATAATGTTGTATTTTGGGCATGTGGGTTTTAATGGATGTAGCACTGCAATTAAGGTTGCAGTAAGCTACCCTGAGGCAGCATTTATTCTTCACATGTTTTAGCACAAGCACAATTGAGCTGTCAAATTGGGAACCGGTGGGAATAATCGCATAATTATTGATTATGTCTTACAGAATGTTTCAATCATTAAGGGGCCTATTTAAACTTACATTGAGCCAAATTAACTATCTTAATTAAAGATCACAGGGTCCTATTTTGTCTAACTTAATTTATGACATACTTAATCCATTTGTTTACTTATTGATTACTTATTGCATCAGAGTAATGTATGCCTATTATTTTAGTCTGTTCAGGCTACTACAACGAAACACTGCAGACTGGGTGACTTATAAACAATAGAAATTTATTTCTTAAGGTTCTAGAGCTGGGAAGTCTAAGAACAAGACACCAACACATTTGGTGTCTGCTGAGAATCTGCTTGCTAGTGCATAGGCCAGCTGTTCAGTGTCCTCACATGGTAGAAAGGATAAGCTAGATCTATGCAGTTTCTTTGGGCAGTCCTCCCATTCATGAAGCCTATGTCCTTATACTTTAATCAGCTCCCAAAGTCCCCACCTCCAAATGCCATCACATCGGGAAAATAGGTTTCAATACAAAAATTTGGGTGAGGGAGACACAAATACGCAGTCTAGAAAAGACTGAAGACACACCTTAAGGTTGGACATGGAAAGAGTGGCCCATGTGGCCTATGGCTCCTTACCCTGAGGTGACTCCCACTTGGGCTAGTATCCAGGAAGTGGAGTCTAGCTTTTTAGGCCTGTTGTTTGATTTTTCTTAATCTTCCAATACCAAGAAAAGTTGGGTAAGGAGACATATAGAAACCACCAGCAGACACAGCAGCAAGCTGCAAGTTAAAGCACAAGCTAACCAACAGGCAATGTTTCCTTTCCAAGATGTTCTCCTGGTGGTTTGGAATAAATTAGTAAGCCAAAAGCAGTACCCCAAGAAGCTATGCAAGATTAAGCAGTTACAGTCATGCAATCTTGCCCACAGTGCATCAGAAAGATTGTTTTGAGGGACACAACACAATGATACTCAGATAGATGAATGGCAAACTGTCTGTGACAATTCCAAATGAAAAATGGCTGCCATACTTGGCCACACAGGGAATGAGCCAGGTTCTGTTCTAGTAATTGTAGGGAGAAACTTTTGTGTGGCAGGTAGAGTGGAGTTCACTAGGTGCCCTGGGTTCCCATGCATTGGCTAATTTGAATGATTTCATGGGATCCAGGGCACAAGGGATATCCCTAGTGGTCTGGGGTTGGGTCCTGGGGCAGTCAGGGTAGGCACACATTGGATAGCGCTCTGGAGTGGGATCCCTCATAAGGAAGTGGTTGAGATGTGAACTTAATCAAGTGATCCACAAGGGGAACTGACTGCCTCTAGCCAGGGCCTCAAAACTGAACCAAGACAGCACTGAAAAACATGTCTTAAATAGCTCTTAGAAAGAACCTACCCTGAATGTAAACTGGTACAGCCCTTCTGGAAACAGTGTGGAGGTTCCTCAGGAAACTAACAATAGAACTCCCCTATGACCCAGCAATAGCACTGCTAGGAATTTACCCAAGGGATACAGAAATGCTGAGGCATAGGAGCACATGTACCCCAATGTTCACAGCAGCACTCTCCACAATAGCTGAAACATGGAAAGAGCCTAAGTGTCCATCAACAGATGAATGGATCAAGAAGATGTGGTTTGTCTATACCATGGAATACTACATGGCAATGAGAAACAATGAAATCTGGCCATGTGTAGCAACATGGATGGACCTTGAGGGTGTTATGCTGAGCGAAATAAGTCAGGCAGAGAAGGACAAATATCATATGTTTGCACGTATAGGAGGATTAGGAGGAACTTGACGGAGGAACAAGGGGGAGAAGGGCGGAAATGGTGGGGGAAAAGGAGAGAGGCAAACCATGAGAGACTCTTGAATGCTGACAAAAACTGAGGACTGATGGATGTGGGGGGGAGGGGGGGATGGGCATGGAGGAGGGCACTTTGGGGACGAGCACTGAGTGTTATGTGGAAACTAATTTGACAATAAACTATTTGTAAAAAAAAAAAAAAAAAAAAGAAAGAACCCACCCTGCTGACACCATGATCTTGGAATTCTAGCCCTTAAAACTGTGACACAATCATTTCTGTTGTTTTAGCCACTTAGTTTGTGGTTCTTTATTGAGGCAGCCCTAGAAAACCAACACTCTTCCAAACTAATAGTGCCGTTTTTCATTCCTACCAATTGCAGATGGCCAGTTGCACACATCCTCAGCACACCTGCCAAGACACTTTGTCACATCTTACATCTCTATTGAGATTGGCCACATTACAAGTAGTCACCAGCCCTGTGGCTGACAAATAAGATATTGGATGTGATATCCTAGAGCATTATTTGTTTTTATGGACCTTATGATGCTCAAAATTTTTTGATAGCTTTCTTCATTTTTTAAATTTTTCTTTTAAAAATGTATCTTATGTTTTAGAGAGAGAGTATATGTGTGTGAGGCGCTAAGGGAGAAAGAGAGAATATAAAGCAAGCTCCATGCTCAGCAGGGATCCCAATGTGGGACTTGACCCCACGGCCCTGGGATCCTGAGCTGAGCTGAAATAAAGGGTTGGACACTCAACCAACTGAGCCACCCAGGTGGATCAATAACATTATTTCTTAAAGGAACAAATGTACTTATTCCTTTCCTCATATTTTGGCAATATGAGAATATTGCCAAAAAATTATTCTGAACTATTTTCAATACACAATTTTAAATGGTAGAGATACAGTTTATAAAACAGCCTCAAAATATACATAAACTTTAAATTCTTTTGAAAATGTTTACTCAAATTTTGCAGTAGAACTTAAATGAATTGATGTATGACTTTGGTGACAACACACTGAGGAGGAGGAGGAGGAGGAGAAGGAGAAAATCCCATTCTCTTTAAGTTTCCTTAAAGTTTCTTTTTTTTCCCCCTCTTCCATACTTCAGGTAATAAAGCGAATTGATCATTCACAGAAAAAGCACTTGACAAATTCTACAACCCTTTGTCTTAGTCTGCTAGAGCTGCTGTGGCAAAATATCACAAACTTAGTGACTTTAGAATTTATTATCTCACAGCTCTGGAATATAG